GGCGTCAGTCACTCCGACCTACTGAGGTAGCAGGAAGCTTAAATCTGGCTGTCACAGCCTCTTAGAAAAGCAGTGTGGTCACAGTGACATTGGCTTTTGTAAGCTCCTTTTTCTTGGAAAAGAAATAGCACTTTCAAAGCTTTTCCATAGATTCATGAAATGGCCCAAAAATCCTTAAAGATTTGGTGAAAAATAAATGTGAAGATGAACGTAGATGTGACTGCAGCTGGCAGAACCCGTACGGAAATGGCATCCTTGCGGGCAGAGCCCACTGGCCTTGCTCTGCCTGGCACACAGCAGCCAGTGGAGCTCAGGTAAGGCAGCCGAACAGGGAGGCATTGAAAAGTGAACAGAGGGTTCGAGTCCAGGCACTGACTGCATGGAAATGAAACAGCACAAAAGGAGGGCGAGGCCCTGGGGAGATGTGGCAAACGGGGAAGTTTGGAGAAGGAACTGGGGCAAACATCTTCTGAGATGTTTGACGTGATCAGGAGAGGGTACTAGAGACACAGCCACAGTGCAGTGCCTGGCGCTCTCCTGGTGCTGACCCGAGCCCCCACTGCAGGACCTGCCCTTTGATGCGCTGCGCTATATGACCGGGGAGTGCAACTATGGAGGCCGGGTGACGGACGACTGGGACCGGCGCACGCTGCGCACCATCCTGAACAAGTTCTTCTGCCCTGAGCTGGTGGCCAAGACAGACTACCAGTTTGACTCGAGTGGCATCTACTTCGTGCCACCTGCCGGCGATGTGAGTGTGCCCAATGGGACATGGGAGCGAAGGAGGAAAGCCAGCCTCCCTGCAGAGCGGAGCTGGGCCTCGGGGCTGTCACCTGCCCGCACTTCCCCAGCCTAGAGGGGCCCACAGAGGGTCCTTGGCTCAGGGAGCTGACCGAGTCGCCAGGCACTCAGGGCCCTGGGTGGAGAGAGCTGGTCCCCAGGTAAAGTGAGTACACAAGAGGCTCCACAGTGTGGGGACTGGAGTAGTTCCTGTTTACGGCGGTTAGGAGTCAGGGACAATGCTGAGCTCCCTGGAG